ATGGTGGCTTATAAGGCAAGGACAGTGTAAAGAAATTCAGAGGAACTGCTTCCTAACTTCCAACCTCTGTAGGTGCGATCACCGAGCGAATCTCTCGGCTGAGTTGTGCTTGACGAAAGGCTTCATAGAAACTCTGGTCCGATGCCATTGTAATAGTCAGGACGGAGCTGTAGGCATGACGAAGCCGTGTGTCGTTGGTCAGCTGTGGGAATACTATGCCCTGGTTGGAAAGGCAAAGAGAAGCACATCATTCATTTCACCTAAGGAGCAAAAGGCAGAACATAAAGGTAAATACAGACACCACAGATAATGACGAGTAGGTAACCTGGTGGGGCATGGCATAGAGCAGCGTGTCATATGGTATGAAGACAAAACCATCAGAAACCATTCCCATGTCCAAAGCAGCCAGTAAGAGCTCTCTCTGATCCTCTCCACCAATCAAAACAGAGCTCATGCACATAATCACCACTGAAACACAAGAAATAGGTACAATATGACACAGACTAAGGCAACTTCCCTTCTAAATAAATGATAATGCAAATATTTAATCAAGCACTTTTAGATTTTAAACACTGTACTAGACATTGCACTAACCTTTGACCTTGTCAGCCTCTCTGATTACTTTCAGTGCATTCCGCGCTGCTGCCCTGCTCATTGTTTCCATCGTAAGAACAGGGCCAACTGGAAGACCCAGAGCACGGAGAGCAGAAGCCACTTCCTGTCCAGTACTCTGCCATATATTAGATGGAGCTGTAAATCCAATAAAAACAAACAAAATATACCCTGGTTGTTATTGATGACTTGACTGTGGTGTCACCTGAAAGATCTAAAAACAAAGTTAGTAGCCTCAAAATTATGAGAATAAATTTAGGTATAATAAAATATTGCTGTACTATACAATTTTAGCCCAGAGTAGGTAAAACTGAGTGGAATACTGCAAATTGCTAGTAGCTAAAATAAAATACCCAAACATTTTATAGAGTTCAGCTGAATAATCACAAATTTTAAAAAAAATAATAGCAAAGAAGAAGCAACACAAGAAACAAAATTAGTGAAGCTAAAGCCATTAGCCATAAGCATGTAAAAAAAATGTCCACAAATAGAACAAAAGTAGCTGCAGCGATTCTCCTGTGTAACGTGGTGACGCCACTATGACATCATCACTTCATCACCTGCGATGATGCCAACATGCGCCCAGCGAAAGAATCGCAGCACAGTGAACAGAACTCTACTGGGAGGAGTGACTGGTGGTAGGTTCGGCCAATTGCCATCCAGACAACCAGGGGATGCAAGCCCCGCCTCCCAGTGTTGGGTCCATAAGGAGGCAGCATTACAGAGGGCAGGATTAAAGGGGCCGATGTAAGCGTGACCGTAACCCTCCATCCCTCCTAGTTCCATAAGAGCTGGACCAAAAAAAGCAAAGAAGAGTAGAACACATACAGTGAGACTATGTTTTAGTTCCCGTATTTTATATTATAAATATATGTGATTGGTTGGAGGATTTATAAATAACAAAACCAACCTTTAGAGGAGCTACAGTCCTCATTCAGCAGTTTCAAATCGTACCAGTACCCTCGGCTCAGACTGACATCATTCCGCAGCCTTGACAACGCCAGGTTGGCAGCAGCAGTGGGCATGGCCCGGGAGAACATTGGGTCACATGACCAAGGGCCAACCAGCGCCAGCTTAAAGGTCGCTCCTTGAACATCCTCTATGCTAAGCAGCCCCAGAGACAACCAGAGTAACAGTGGAGGGACCTGCATCACAGTGTCCTGTCCAAGACCATAAACAACAGTTTGTTAGTGATAGATCAAACATCGTCGAAAGCCAGTAAATATTATGAAATTAAGTTCAAATGTTGGCAATACATATTCATGGTTTAAAACCTCAAATACACAAACACATTTTAGATTTAAAAGCTAGAACAAATGAGTGAAGATGAAGTGTTTCACCTGACTGCACTGACCTTTGACCTCTACTACTGACTGACCCTAATACAGTTAGAATGCTGAAAATAGCCCAATGCTCTTACACTATTAACAAAAGCTAGGAGACAGAATTCCATCACAGCATCACAGACGTCAGGGATGACATCTGATGAGGGTTTAAACACACATAACACACAGGTTATGGTAACTACTGACAAGAGCTATTACAGAATTAACATAGCTATTACAGCTGACACGCTAATAACAAACTGAGGTGATACAGAAAGCAGGGTTAACCAATCTGGAATAGCTAAAAGAGCAAACACATCTAACAGAACTGAGATAGCAGCTAACACAGGTAAAAGAAGCAAACTGATTTCAAACATGAAACAGATCTCACAGGAGCTAATACAGCTATCAGCAACAGATGACACAGCTGACAGCCAGATTTGGCATAGCTAGAATATCTGTATTCAGAAGAGTGGCTCATGCAGCAAAAGGAGATCAAGCTAATGTAGCTAACGTTGCAAATACTGTTCATACGCAGTGCATAACTATGCATATTAATTTGATGCAGCTACAAGCTGGAATAGAAAACTAATTCCACAGAGCAAGTAGAGCTGAAAGAGAGCTTAAAAATTTCAACTTACAGCTACAAAAGTGACTATAGCTATAAAAAAAAAAAAAAAAACACACACACACACACCTTTTTGGCTAAAACAGAGCTAAAACAACTAAGACAACACTGCCCTGTGTGGACAGAGCTAACAGAGGTTAATGAGCTAGAATAGCTAAAGAACTGAACAGAGCTCAAAGAATTATGAAACAACTCTTAGCTTTTTGCAACATAACTCAAAATTCAATGATAACAAAATGATGCTGGTCATGACAACTTAAATTGCCATCAAAGACACACACACACACACACAGCGTTACCTTTGTTAGCTCCTCATCTAATGCAAAATCTCTGACTTATTTTTCATATAAACAATAGGCAGAACAGTAACCAAGTGCTGTTGTCAAGGTGAACAAATGAGAGAAAGACACCAAGAGAGTGAGGAAGGATTATTTTAATCCTGTTTGAAGGTCTTTGGCTTCAGCTTTGACTCTGTGATGAGAGGGTGACTTCCTGTGTGTGTGTGTCTCTACCTATGACCTCACAACTGTATGCATGACATAATTCACAGAACAGTGATGAGGGAATAAAAGGGTAGAAAGAGGAGGATAAATGGACAATAGGAGATTATAATGACGTTTTAGGATTAGCCTCCTCCTCCTCATTTTCCTCCTCTGCACAGATCACAGATCTGAGCTGGTTTGAAGCCAAGAATAGAGACAGGATTAGACCTCTGTGGACTTGGCTGGAGATTACGCAACAAATACAGCCCCTACTGGGTAAAGTTCTCCAGTAACACTAGTATATTTGGCAAGAATTTAATTTAACAGAGCACAAAGTAGAAACATTCTACGGGTAGAGATGTCATTTTCCTATCCACAACAGTGTCTTGTATGGTGCATAACACTTCTAATGATATTTTGAGCATTTGTAAAGGCAAAACTAATTGTTTAAATTTTGCTTCCATATTAAATCACCCTGGTCACATTTCTGAACACCAAGAGCAAGTCAGACAACCACTGATGATTATCAATGACCTTTACAGAATGGTGTTATATGTTCAAGGTTCATTTTATTGCTATTGCATTTACATACGACACAACTTTGGTGCACTCTTAAGTTGGTGAAGTGCAATTGTTTGATATACATACAATGCATACATCGTGCACCAAATAAAAAACAAAAAACATTTTTATAGTCACAACCTTTATGCCGCTTTATATTTAGCATTAATATTGCCCCATCTTCTTTTAAATGCAGACATGTTCTATAAACGTTCTACCATTCATAACACTGAATATAAAAAGCACTTCGAACAGGGAGTTATTAAACATTTGACTTCTAATTGGTGAAATTCTGGTTCTGCCCGGACCAATGTGTCGTCGATGTTGACGTGCCGCTAGAACTAAACTTTCAACATGGCATTTATCGGCGATTGTATGAGTTTACCAACACCAGGAGATGGCGGTAACAATACTTGATATTTTGCTTCTGCTTGTAAAGAAGAAGTCTGTGGGCCAGCGCTGGAGAAACAGAAGAAGAAGAACAGGGAGGCTGAAGAAGAGAGAACGATAGCCTTTGACGGGTGAAGACTGTCTTCAATTCTCAAAGTGAGTCGTCTCTGCTCGTGTTTGTTCGCAATTACTCAGCTCCTGCAATTTAATTTCAAGTAACAGTTACTAGTTAGCTGCGACATGCTAACAGAGCCGATAATCCGCCACGGTTAGCTGTTAGCATCTCGGTCCAACTACGAACGGATTTCCATTATCGGACGCGCCCCTTAGTTGTTGTGGTCTGTCCGCAAGCTGACCTCTTAGCGATTGTCAGCAGCATAGTAATTTAAAAAAACACACACCTTTGGCGTTATGGAGTTAAACGTTGTCAAAGAAACGCTAGATACAGTATTGTTGTGTTGCTGTGTGGTGCAGTCTGTCTGTGTTTTATATCACAAGAAAGTCGGAGTGTAAAACCTAAATGTTTACTTCATGCTGGTGAAAGTTTATCTAAATTGGCCGGATTTTAAAAGGGTTTGTTATTGTTACTCTGTGGTTCATCCACGCGTGAAAACCAACACACCTGACCTTCACCTGTTTGTTCGCTTATCAGCTCCTCCGTGGCCGTGGACACCAGTGAAATGACGCAGGACGAGGCTGACGAGGCCATGGTACAGAACACAGAGCCACAGATGTCAGAGCAGACCTCTGCTCCTGAAGCAGAGAAGAAGAAGCCCGCCGTCCGCCGGCCCCCCCCCCCCGGGGGGGGGGCCGGCGGACGGCGGGCTTCTTATTCTCTGCTTCAGGAGCAGAGGTCTGCTCTGACATCTGTGACTCTGTGTTCTGTACTTATATCTGTACATGCATGTACAGATATAAGTACAGAACACAGAGCCACAGATGTCAGAGCAGACCTCTGCTCCTGAAGCAGAGAATAAGAAGCCCGCCGTCCGCCGGCCCCCCCCCCGGGGGGGGGGGGGGGGGGCCCCAAAGGCAAGAAGCAGGGCCCAGTTGACAAGAGGCGAGGCTCAGGAGGTAAAAGGCGTGGCCAAAAGGTCAGGAAGCAACTCCAAGAGGAGAAAAAAGAGGGAGTGACGGTGAAGAGGATGTGGAGCGGCGGAAAGCGTCAGTACTGCGTGTTCTGTCGACGTCCCCAGGTGAAGATCGCACGACACCTGTTGAGAAAGCATAAAGATGAACCAGAGGTAGTAGCTGCCAGCACGCTTCCAAAAGGATCCAAACAACGCCATCTGTTGTTGGAGCATCTACGCTGCAGGGGCAACTACCTACACAACATTGAGGTTTGTTCACCGGTTTTCCCAGATTTTTGTTTATGTCTGTCCCGCTGCCTGAATGACTAATATTGTGTGTCTTAGGTAATCAGACAAGGCAGTGGTGAAATCATTCCATGTCGTCAACCCTCCGAGGAAGTGGATGCAAGGAACTACCTTCCGTGTCCACTCTGCCTCGGCTTTTTCCTGCGCTCTGATCTCTGGAAACATCAGGTGTGTTGTCGTAAAAAGCTGGTCACTGACTCCATTCCCATCGCTGAAAAACTGTTGGAGCCAGTAGCTGACATCATGGTTGACTCTGCAGCTGGAGCCTTAATGGATCAGGCAGATGACGGAACATCTGTGGAGGACACATCATGTGACACTCAAGCAGATGCAGCTATAGCAGACACAGCTACAGCAGACACTGCCTTGGCAAACCCTAAGGGGACATTAGAGATAGTATTAAAACGGGCCATGACAGCAGCTGTTGGCGGGGATCAGAACGTGATTTCTGAACACGGGACAGAACGGCCCAGGAAGCGTGTCAGGGTCCAAGCTGCTGCATCTCGCCTTCTACCTATTTCAGGTGGGGCATCAGAGAGCTGCAGTGAAGTCCTGCACCGTATGAACCATGATCACATCTCATATGAGGTAAGTACCTAAATAAGTATCTGACTGAGCCTGTGAGAGTGCCTTTTTAAGCCAGATAAGCCACAACTCCCATTCTGCCCAGGTCAAATCTGATTGGCTTATCTGCAAATATGGAAACAAATTGATGGGGAACCAAGATGGCACTCAGAAGAGGTACGACTACGTCAGTCAGAAGCTGCGGGAGCTGGGGAGGTTCCTCCTCGCAGCCAAATCTCTGGACCCTAGCATTCACACTTTGTTGGATGTTCTGGCACCCGGTCGCCTCAGCCTGGCGCTGTCTGCTGCCAGAAAGGCAGCTGGGTACCGCTGGTCTCGCCCTCCACTAGCGGTGAAGACAACTCTGAAAACCATTTGTGAAATAGCCATTGGAGAGAGTCTGCAGGAAGGAGACTGGGAAGCAGCGGCCAAAACGACTGACTTCTACCACATGCTGGGAAAAGAGTGGGACAACCTGGGGCTCTCAGACCCGGACCCAGACCCTGATGCAGGTATTAGTCCCTGAAAAAGTCATAAAATCATCACAAAATCATCACAATTAAGAAAAACTATATATATATATATGTATATAAACTCTTGTAGTTAATTTCAGAAAACAGGAATCATGTGACATTACAACAAACATACTAACAGAACCATAGAGAAGTGTGACTGTGTAATTAAACAAACTCTTCTGTATATGAATGCAATACCAGGGAAGTCAGCAGTTTCGGAACAGAAGCAAAAGTTATGGATGTAGTGATAAAACAATTTAAAATCTGAAACTTTTTTTTGTAACAAACGCTTTTGTTTCAGTCATTCCTGAAGGCAGAGCCAAACCAAGAAAACGAGTTGTCCAGTCTTTAATCAAAAAGTCCAATCCGGAGTTGGACCAAGGTCCAACAGGTGAGTTTGAAGCCCAAACACCTGGAACTCCAGACATCTGTTTGAGATGTGATTGTTACAAACGTTCAATAGATGATGCTGTTTGTCCCAACTTGTCGTCTGTAGATCTACCAAAGACCAACAACAAACCTGTGACCTCTCTGATGGTGCCAGACCCCAGACTTCAGGTTCCACTTCCAGGTGAGTCCACATGCTCACATGCCTGGAGAGATGCTATCTTTTAAAGAATGCTGCACCCTACTGGTGAAAGAATTTATTAAACTAGAACATCTCTGCTCAGAGGTCTGACCTCCTGCTTCTCTGATTCCACAGCTCCTCGGAAGGTCCAACGTCGCCCGTGGTCCACAGAAGAAAAAGAAGCGATCTGGAGACAACTAGGAGTCCATATACGTGTCCAGACAGTACCAGGGAAAGAAGTCTGTCAACGCTGTCTGGACCTGGAACCAGTTCTAAGAGGCAGACATTGGAAAGACATAAAGAACCAGGTCCACAACCAAATCCAGAGCCAGAAAAAACAGCAGTTTCATGCTCAGGTAGACCTTCAAGAGAACCAGGGACAACAGAACCAGGCACAGCAGAATCCAGCACAGCAGGCCCAGGAACAACAAGACCAAAACCAGAAGAAGTGGCAACAGCACCAGCACTACCAGGCTCCAATAAGCCAACAGGAGAAGGACCAGATTCTGAACCAAAAGAAACAGCAGTATCATGTTCAAATGGACCAACACAACCAGGACCACATGCAAAACCAGAAGAAACAGGATTACCACGTTCAACTGGACCATCAAGAGCAAGACCACACTCAGAACCAGAGGAAACAGCAGTACCACATTCAGATGGACCAACACGACCCTCTTCAAGTTCACAAAAAACAGCTGTGCCATGGTAGACCCGACCACCAGGACCATGTTGCTGTCGTCAAGAAGCATCTGTACCAGATGGGCCAGCAAACCCAGGGCTTGCAGTCTACCCTAGAACGAGACACGTCACTCCTGACGGGGGCTTTTGGACCTGATGGTTCCCACCGGGTTCCAGGACTTTCACTTGTTGAAAGGGAACACATTATCAGTCCTTACCAACTCTCACAAAGGGCCCCAGGGCATCATATGGACCAGCTGCTGCCCAGAACTGAATGGACTGACGAGTCACTGGCCCAGAACTACCAGGTCAACAGGCCACTCCCCCGAAACCTACTCCAGGAAGGTCCTCCTGGAGGACCACCAACCCATCCACATCCTGGACATGGTCACTTCTGATAAAGGGCACAAGAACCGATCCTTTTATTGTCCAAAAGTTAGCGGTGTCAAACTGAGACCCTGGGCTGAGTATGCAGTGGACTAAACAGTAGAATTTAATCAAACCAGTCAGTGTTATAGTGGTCATCATGGTAAACTCTGTGCAATCACTTCCTGTGTGTTTGTGTGTATTACCACTAGAGGGCAGAGTCACAATCCAAAGCTCAGTCTATAATAATGTACGATTTGTATAAAAAGCTTTTCTTAACAATGTCTCATTTCCCTTTTTTTCTACATCACAACTTCACATCACTTCACGTCACATTTCAACATAGTTTGACCAGTTGACTATCTCAGATGTTAGCCTTCTGTCATCGTACCCCCAATCCATTTGTTTCCATGTTGTCTGTACAATATAAGGTCTGTTGTATGAATCAAGGGGAAATACAAGTAGGGACAAATTGAGGTGGAAAGAGGGCTATGATTGGACTTTGTGTGTGATTGTTGGCTGGGACAGTGTTGGTGATTGGTGATGATCAATGATAAAATAATCCAGTCTAAGGTTTTTTTACTCTGGGAGTGGCAGTCCCAACAGATGATCATAGCATCACACACTTCCTGTCACTGATTAAAAATTACAGAGGGAAACAATCTTCCTCACACAATCTAAAATGTGCAGAGCAGGGATTCAAGTCACTGTTAACTCTAAACTGGCCACAGGTGTATGTAATATGCGTGAATGGTTGTTTTTCAAGCACAAACTGATATCAGCTGATGTTGACCTGAAATCCGCATCACGACAGTCCGTCATCATCGGGACCAGTGCTTCTCCTCCCTCCGCTTTTATAGCACAGGAGGCGGGGCCGTCCTGATGTTGCGACGTTGGAGTCAGACTGTGACGTCAGTGCTGTTCGTGTGGGGAGGTTAACCGCAGTGACGCCATACTCACTCTCTCTCTTACACACACACTCTCTCTCATCATCCCTCATCTCACCGATCATCTCCATCGAGTTCTTCACACACACACACACCTCTGGTCCTCACTGACGCTGAGAGTGTACGTGACGTCAGGGCACACCAGGTCCACAGCTCCCATCTTCTTCATCCTCCTCTTCCTCCATCATCTTCACCAGCACCGACCATCATGTCCGGGACCAAAGAGGAGGACCGCAAAGGCTCGAGCGAGTGGCGGGAGTTCTTCTGGAATCCGCGAACCCACGAGCTGCTGGGCCGAACCGCCACCAGCTGGGGTGAGTGTGGAGCAGGCATTGATACAAGGGATGTTATTTTACTACTCACAATAATAATAATAATAATAATAATAATAATAATAATACACACGACTGTGTGTGATAATACTTCATTACTGTAAAATATACTCAGAATATATATATTCAGATATGAATCGTCCTAGTGAGAATTGCTACTTCAATAATAATATTACATATGTTGTTTTTTAATATTTATTTTTATTATTATCATTATTGAGTGAGCACAAAAATCCAAAGTAATTACAATACAAATAAATAATCTTTTGTCAACATTATATTTGACTGCATTAACAGTACAGTAACAGTGAAGTACTGCAGCATCATATGCTACTACCAATATTTGCTAACATTTTAAATTTTACTCGAAATTGAGTATATAAACAGTCTTTGTTCATTCAGGTACACTAAAGTCAACATTTATATTATACAATATAAATTAATCCTTTAAATCATTCTTGTTGTGATAAATAAATAAATAAATGTACATAGACACACACTGTAACTGATGTAGTAATCAAACAAAAACATTCCCATCAACAAAATCTACTGTATGTTGTATGAATCCTACCCCCCAACCCTTTCTGTGTGTGTTATTGTCAGTGATGCTTGCTCGTCCTCTGACAGCCATGTCCTGTCTGAAGGTCACTCTCTCTCTCTCTTTCTGAACTGAATGAATGATTTAGAATATAGGACATGTGAGTGTGTGTACATATCTGTACATGCATGTACAGATATAAACGTGTACTGTGTACATAGGTTCTGCTCAGTTTTCTAAAATGAGTATAGGACAAGTTTAAAATTGAGAATACTCATGGTTAATAGAGTGAGGGGTAAGCAGAGGCCTCCTCTGTTCAGCCACAGTCTCAGTAAGTGTCATAACCAGATCTTGTTTCCTAGATTGCATCTTAAACAGCCATAGTAGTAAGACAGAGTCCTCAGTCCACAGAGGAAGTCAGCATTTTTATCTCCCTTGTCATATGGATGCCTGCTGCCTCAAGTGGCAAAAGCTTGTCACTAATAGATTTCATGTTTAAAAGTCATATGAAATCATAGAGTTTGTCAGTGGATTTTGGTGCAGCTGCTGCGACAAAGAAAAATATAAATAGTGTATAAAAATCCATGCTAACTTATCTCAAGTCAGCTCTCAGACTTTACGTAACAACACTTGGAGGGCAACATCATATCTCCCATCATGCACCAGGGCACTGGATGTTTGGCCTTGATGAAGCCTGAAGGACGCACACACTCATGATAACAGTGTGCGTTAATCTGGATTAAAAACGGCAGATAACTTGGATTTGGCAGTAATCTGTCTCAGCACACAGACAGATGTGTCCATTCTAAGGACACGTCAATGACTTTAGACTGCCTCCCCAAAACCTGTCTCCTAACATCAACCGTATGTGTTTGTTGTTTTCACTGACACTAAAATATTCATTCATGCACAGGAAACTCAACATGACCTCCTGTCACAAAGTTCGAAGAGCCATAAAAAATCTTCTTAATGTTTTGATACCACAAAAAGTACCCAGATGGAACCTGTAGGGTTAAAAAAGCTTGAATTGTAAATGTGTATGTGTGGTGTTGTACTTCATATATACTTCATGTGTACTTAATGTATGTAAGCCAATAAAAGTGAAGGAGTTTAACAACTGATGCATGCCCGTTTTAGGGCACAGACAGAGAAAGAGAGATTAGCCCCTCCCCCATTCACCCTCCACCCCCCACTGAATCTAGGTCATCATCAGTGGGGGCGGTGCCGAACACAGCAGGATTATAAACATGAATAGACCATAGAAAAAAAAACAAAAGACTTGGATTTAGGAAGAAAATCCAGCAGTTGTGCTGACGAGCCACTAGGGGGCGATTGAAAACTAATGTAAAAAACACGCTACCTTTAATAAGTTACACAGTTTATGGACTTCAGCAAACATGTTCCAGGTATTCTCCAGTAGAACAGTGAGGACAACATGTGATTGGCTGCTAGAACTGTCCAATAGCACACCAGGTCTGTGAACCTCTGCTTTTAGAATGGTACGGAGAACCCTCAATTCCAGTTTCATGATCATGGGTTCCTCTACCTCCTCAGGCCTGATCCTGCTCTTCTATGTCATCTTCTACCTGTTCCTGGCGGGAATGTTCGCCCTGACCATGTACATCATGCTGCTGACGCTCGATGACTTCAAGCCCACCTGGCAGGACCGCCTGGCTACTCCAGGTGAGATCGTGGAAGACATTTGAACGACATTTGTCAGCTGATTACGGTGGCTGATCCTCCTTTTTTTTTCTGCCGTAGGGATGATGATTCGTCCAAAGGGCGAAATGCTGGAGATCACCTACTCTGTCTCAGACATAGAAACCTGGGGGGGCTTCGTCCAAAACCTTGACACTTTCCTCTCCTGTAAGACACCCACTCGTCAATGTTTGGATGCTTCTGATCAATGGTGAAATCAATCAGTGCAGTGTCTCACTGTCTGTCTGTCTACAGTGTACAACGACAGCCACCAGGCTCAGACCAACGACAACTGTCCTCCAGATCAATACTTCATCCAGGAGGACAGTGGAGAGGTAAAACTGTCTGTCTCTAATGTGTCCTGATACCACGTTCACAGTCAGAAAGTCCCGAGACAGATGTTTTATCCATTTCTGCAGGTGTCTGATGTTAATGACTAGAACCAGTTCAGACTGGTCTCTGTGTCTCCAACAGCTCTGACCAGTTTCATCATCATATCTTATCATCATATCAAGTGTTGAGCTGTGTGACCTTTGTGACCTTTGACTTGGTCAGAGTTTTAATGAAGCATTTTCAAATCAGAGCAAACCTCACATTTTTGACCAAACTTGAATGGAAACCAGTTCAGATGATTGAAGCTCATCAACTGGTTCTGATCTAGAATTCTCTGATAGAGACACCACTGAAGAAGAGAGCAGACAGGTGGATTTCAGTTCTTAGACCAAACAGACAGGAGCAGGTTGTGACCTGGAGTCAAAGACATCGACCAGAATTCTACAGAGAAGAAGAGTTCTCTGATGGAGACACCACTGAAGAAGAGAGACTTTTTGACTCTCCTTCTCTCATGTCTCCCCTTTTTGTCTGTATCATTCTCTCACCTGTCTGTCTGTCCTGCATCTGTCTCTCTGTCCTATGTGTCCCTCACATGTCTCTCTCTAACTTTTCCGTCTCTCACAGGTCAGGAACAATCCCAAACGCTCCTGTCAGTTTAACCGGACTATGCTGGAGGACTGTTCTGGAAGAACCGATCAATTTTATGGTTACAAAGACGGTGAGCCATGCGTCCTCATCAAAATGAACCGGGTACGTCCACCGACTAACCTCTGACCTCTCAGATACAGCCTTGAGCTAAAGACTACATTGTCAGCATGTGTGTCTTTTTTTCAATAAGAGAAGATAAAGGAGCACCACTCTGCTGCTGCCCCCTGTGGTCACTTTGAGTCACAGAAGTAACTCTGAACAAACCCCACTTGAAATGAAATGAAAATGTTTTTTACCAAATAACACAGCAACAGGTCATTGCCTGTGTGTGTGGTCATGTGTTTTCTTAATGGATGTTTGTGTGAGGAATTCATTCATTTGAAAATACACCCAGCCTCAGTTTTCTGTTAAAGGTGCAGATCAGTGATATATTGTGATATATTGTACAAGATATTTTAGAAACAGAGGAGGGTTTAATCAGACAAAACTTTACTGAAGTGACCCTTAACCTTTAACCTAATCCAAGGCTGGTCCTCAGTAAAGGAAAACCAGCAGACTGCAGTTACAGGAGAACCAAGAACTGAAAGTAACCTCATACACATCTGTTTCACCAGGTGATCAACATGCTGCCAGGAAAGGATGGTCAGTCTCCTTATGTCACCTGTGCAGCCAAGGTCAGAACCTGTCTGTCTGTCTGTCTGTGGTCACTGCAGGCTATTCAACACTGATTGGTTTATTGATCAGTGTTTGTGTGTGTGTTCAGGGGGAGGACAGTGATAAGATTGGACCTTTGGCATATTTTCCTCCTAACGGGACCTTTAACCTCATGTACTATCCATACTACGGCAAGAAATCTCAGGTGAGACACGTGCGCTTGTACACACGCAACAGTACACACAAAAGGTTAAGCTAACTGAACGTTAACTAAAAAAAATGTATTCCAAATTAAAAAAACAACTAAATGTTTTCCTGTGAAAAATATACTAAAATGTAAAAGACAAAACAGCTTCAGAGGTGAAATTAGCTACATACCAACAAAAAGGCAAGCTGAAAGCATGAACATATTACAAAAGCTGAAGATAAGCCATGAAATAAATGGAACTTAAATAAAGCCAAGAAAAAAAACTTAAAAAAAAAAATGTTACCAAGAAATGTAAAGCAAAAATGCTTAAATGTTATTCCAAAATATTTAATACACTCAAGAAACAAAAACAACAGAGTTTTAAGGGGGACTCATTAGATCAGTGATGGAGGAGGTCAGGGTTAGGAGGTCACACCACAGGAAAATATCAGTTAAAGACAAAGGCCAATAATATCTTCAAATGTGTGAAGAGTCTGTGAAGAAGAAAAAAAAACTCAAAAAGAACAAATGTGGCTCGAAACGAACAGGATGTGAAATAGCTCAAAGTTAGATGTTAATCATGAACAAATATACTGTATATTTTACAAAAATGCTAAGAGTTAGCTGTACAGCACAAATGGTAATGTAATGGTAGAGTACATGGTACAGCACCACAGCAATCACACATACTGTAGGAACTAGTAGTAATAGTAGAAGTACACACCAAAGTACTGTATTGTGAAGAGGTTACCAAGGTAGTATATACTGTATAAGCAATGTAAAACACACAATTTAAAAGTCCTCATAGTAAATATCAATAATTTAAATATATAGTTAAATATATTTGATGTACATTTAGCAGTGAGAAGTGCAGTA